AAATAGAATAAAAATAACGAATAATTTTTCACCAAAAAATATTCACATTTTAACTAGAGAACAAACAAGTCCTAAGCGCATTCATAAAATCGTATATTTAAAGTTGGCGTTTCTGGAATACATAATTTTACTCGTTAGAATAAAGAATTGTAGTTACATAATTCATAGGTACACGATTGACATTTTCTTTCTATGAGATATTAGCTTAATGAATGTGTAAAATGGACTACAAAATATTTGTACTATATTACTTTTTGGTATTTGTATTGTAAGATAGTTTTTTTATTACTTACTTGTTTATACTCTAAAAAAGCTTCATTCAGAACCTCGCAATTAGAAGAATAAATTAGTAGTTTCAATTAACGTAGAAGTCTGTTTCTTTAATTTGAATGTAAGCATTCAGAACATCAAAATTATTTGTATGAATTTCTAGTGGAAAAAGTTAACAAAATTTTGACTTTTCTACTAATTATACTTCAAAATTTGCGGGGAATCTCATTTTGGCCTTTGATTATCATCCGTCAAGAGAAAATCAGGTTAGAAACCAATAGTTTATCGTTTTATAAGCTAAATATTAGGCTTTCTTTATGGATACAACTGATTACTGCAAGCTGTTGCTAGGATATTCTATTAATTTTAATTGTATTTTTCAGATATTGTGAATGATCGTAAACTAAAAACTATAAAGTGTAATTGAAACCACTAATTTATTCCACTAATTGCGAAGTTCTGAATGAAGCTTAAAGCCTCAAATTAGTGGAATAAATTTGTAGTTTCAATAACACTATACAGGGTGCTACAAATTCGAGGTACGAGCATTGGTATCTCGGTAACCGTAATAGATACGAAGATGGTTAAATTGGGGCAAAGTTGCGCCTTGGGATGTTCACCACGATACCATCAAATTTTTTTTAAAATTTCAAGGATTGCTGAGTTTTTTGGAAAAAACAGATTTTTTTAAATCAATTTTATTTTTTCCTGTCGTTAGTTTTTAGAAAATCAAAAAAATAATTGCACATTCTCATAGCCACTTTATTAGGGCTATCTGTTAGTGTTTTTAGATTTTCAAATTAGCTGATAATTTGTGAGATAAAGAGGCCGACTTAATTTTTTTAAATACGGACCTGCATTTTTTATTTTAGATTTTGAAAAAACTCGGTCTCCTGAGTACAACGATAAGCACACTTTATACTTCTTTTTTGTTTCAGACATTTAAACACAAAATTTATTTAAACTAATTTCAAGTCCGGCTCTGTTTTTTAAATATTTAAATTATTCATCGTTACAATATTGATAAGCCTTCAAATTTAACTATGACGTGGGGTAAAACATTGGATACGAAAAATCAAATTCAATGAAAAAATAATTGCATTACTTGACGTCATTTGTAAAAGTGAAATCAATATTTTTCAACATTTACAATAAAGAGTACAAAATGCATTCGGAAGTATAAGATGAAGATATGTTCAAAGAGCTATAAATAAAATTGAAAGAATAATAAATTTCCGCAATTAAAATTGAAAGAACAACAATTTCCGAAACTGTTATATTCCGTCTTGAATTCAAGATATTTAAGAACTGTAAATAGTTCTTATATAAATATTTATTGGAACAAAATCTGCCGCATTTTCACTTTGTGTGAAAAGGCGTCCGAAAGGAAAAGTCCGCGGACTTTACCTTTCGTTCGTTTTATTAGACAAATCTAATCTCCGCGGACTTGGCCTCTGACAGGCATTTTCCGCCAAAGGCTTTGCCTGTCAAAGACTTGGTCTTGCCCTCAATCTGCAGGTCGGGCCTTTCCGTGTATGAGCACGTGTATTAGCCTATAAAACAATTAACTTTTGATTTCTAACCACAATTTCTCTTGACGGATGATAATCAAAGGCCAAAAAAATGATATTACCGCAAATTTTGAAGTGTTTGTCAACTTTTTCTATTAACTGAAAATTACTACCACTAATTTTGACGTTCTGAATTCTTACATTGAAATTAGAGGAAGAAACTTCTACCCCCTAATTGAAACATCTAATTTATTCCCCTAATATAGAAGTTTTGAATAAAGCTTACCTAAAATGTTAATACTTTTTTATCGAACCTGTAGTTTCGTCTTTTGCCATGTTAGTGCGTACTGTGTGGAATTTAAAAATTAATTATTCTGTAAGATATAATTATAGCAAAAAGCTCCCACGCTTTGTTAGACTATAAAATTTGGCACAGTTGTATCCCGTTTCAATTTATTAATTTATTCCTGAGAGTCGGAGAACCACTCGAAATTTTGACAAATATACAATCTGAATTCATCAATAAACAAAATGGCAATTGAGCAATGTACAATCGTAACTCAATTATAAACATTTTTAGTTATCTAAACAACTCTGTTTATAAATATTTTGTGTCTATTAATTTTTTCCTAATAATGTCTTAAAATATTAAATCTTAAATCGACTATTCGCGTGTTTTTAACACTTATAAAAAGTACAAAGCGGGTTTTAGTTGGATGTAGAGTCCGTGCGCGGCGCTGGCGATCGAGAAAACGTCACTCGGCGTAGTGTCCGTTTCGTCACAAAGTTTTTTTAGTTTATTGGGCAAAATCGAAGAGGCTGTTCGTCGTTTATACCAATTAAGGCCTTTCTAACTACAATAGGTCACAAGATAACGTTATTATACTACCTGTTTAGAAATTTTTTAACACAGTCCCAATTTTATCCAAACTATCTAGTGTAAACGAAATCCGTATATTTTATTGTTTAAATTAGGCATAAAAATCTAGATATTGTTTCTATCCTAACCAAAAATATATATAAAAAGTTGCAAACTTTGCTGTATAACTCTCCTGCTTCGTAGGAGATTCGTTTCTTCTAAAAAGTACCTTTGGGTATTTCGCCACTAAAAGAAAATCTACAATATAAAACAGTTATTTTTTGTAAACACCGCTGCATTGATCCAGCGGAGACCAATTTGTCGGTGGTATTTTACTAATAAAACAAATTTGTCTAATGGACAAAAATGCTTAACTTTTCAGGAGATATTGTTTTTGCTTCCGACGACGGGATAAGATATACCTCCTGAATTAACGTTTCAGGAAGCAGTTTTTTATCCGTTAGGCAAATTTGTTTTATTGGTAAAATACCGCTCACAAATTGGTCTCCATTGAATCGACGCAGTGGTGTTAACAAAAAATAACTATTTTATTTTGTAGAATTCCTTCTAGTGGCGTAGGTGGCGAAAACCCAGAAGAATTTTTTGAAGAAATTATTATATAACGTTATTACTTCTATAGATTTGAAACAATTAAATATGGGATATGGGAAAACATAAGACAATATATTTGCAGCCTCATTAACAGTACGAACCGACGGCGACGTCTACAGTCAGTTATAGCGGCCAAGGGAGGCAATACAAAGTATTAGAGTAAGTTTTTTGTTTGTACACTTAATTATTAGAGTTATTTTTTTTTAATATCCTTAGTACTGTTAGTGTTACTAATATTTATTAAAATCAAGCCTGTTTTTTTGTGTTCCAACTTTTTAAAGTTTTTTAAATTTTAATTAGAGTTCTAATCAGTGTCGATATGACATTACGGCAATAGCCACCAAAGCCACCAAAGATTAAAAAATAACATCATAAAGTGATGATAGTTGAAAAAATTGCAAATTGTTGGTGGCAAGTTCATTTCGCTCTTAAAAATCAACCAAGACATGTGTTGACATGAGTCCAAAAACAAAGTGCTCAGGAGAAATGGTTCTGATCGAAAAATAATGTTTTAGGAAAAGTTACTCACGAAATTATTGCACAGGGTATTTTAAAGTTATGGTAAAAAACAATCCTTAATTTAACCCTGTATAATAAGCCAAATATTAAAGTTGGTAAATTTATATACAGTTTGGTAAAAAAATAATGAAAATAGGACGAAAAGTAAAAAAAAATATAAATAATACTTTAAACTTGACGAAAAAAATGTCCGCTGCGTTTTTTGGATCTGAGTGTATAAAAATAAGTCGTCTAATAAAAATAAAAATAAGTTGCCTTAAATATTAATACTGTAAATTAAAAACATAGGTCAATATAAATAAAAATAAATCATCAAAATAAATATAATTAAAACCAGACTATCGAGAAATATTTTGTCACAAACAAAACTATAATAAAATGGGAATCAGGTACATACAAATTATGTTTATATATTGTTTTTTAGAAACGGTTATTGGCATTGCGCAGAAATATAAATTTCCATCAAAATAACCAGACGTTTGAATAGCTTACGTAGTATTTAGCTACTCTATATAGCTAGTAAAGTAACTATTTTAACTGTAAAACTTCATTCAGATCCTCGCAATTAGTGGTTTCAATTACACTTTCTACATTTTAGTTTACCATCATTCAAAATGTCTAAAAAATACAATTAAAATTAAAAGAATTTACTAGCAATAGCTTGCGGTAGACAGTTGTATCCATACAGAAAGCTTTTAACATTTTTTAAACATTTAACCTCATTTAACTTATAAAAGAATCAACTTTTGATTTTTAACCACAATTTCCTTTGACTTATGATAATCAAAGTCGAAAATGACATTCCTCGCAAATTTTGAAGTATAATTGGTAGAAATGTTAAAAGTTTGTTAACTTTTTCTACTAATTGAAAATGACTATCCCTAATTTTGGCGTTTGGCATTGAAATTAAAGGAACAAACTTCTGCGCTAATTGAAACCATTCATTTATGGCACTAATTTTGGGGTTCTGAATGAAGCTTAACATACATAAAAAAACGTATAGTATAAAATGGATCCTGTTTTTACCCGTCTATTAAAGTTTCTTTTTTGGATAAAAGGGTTATGTGAAAAACGTGTTTATAATAGAAAAATTATGTTGCATAAAAGTGAGTTTAACATAATTATTTATTATCTACTATTCCTTAATCTTATGCAAGTCGTACATTAGAAATAAAGTCTATTTGAAAATTTTATTGCGAAGTAAAAAAACTTTTTGGCAGTATGTAAAAATTGATCTATTTGTAATCTCGTACAACCTAGTGTAGTTATAGCCGTCAAAATGTTTAGAATCTGACACTGGCCTCTAAACGACAGCCTCCAGGAATCGTACCCGGTCGCGACAGGATATGTGCGCACCGCGCGCTCGATTGTGCGCAAGTTTTGGCAGTGGCGTTCACAGCCGGTCCTCCTCCTCTTCCTCCTCCTCGCCTTCCTCCAGCACTCCCTCGTTCTCCTCACGGTAGCCCGGATGCTCCGAGATGGCGTAGTAGTTGCCGTTGTAGATGACGCCCAGTTCGCGCATGTCCGCGCCCCGTATCGTGGCCTGGATCAAAAGAAAAAACGTTTTAGTATAAGGATTATAATTTATTATATTATAAATCTTAGTTTATTACTTATTAGTATTATTATTTGAGCAGTTGAAAACGAGAGTGGTCTAAGTCAAAAAATGTAGTTTTCAGATATGGGGCTTCAAAGTTAACGGCTTACTGTATAATACTCACATAAGATATTATCATTGTAACACTTTGGTATTGTAACAAAATGGGACCAACTTAAATTTTCGCATAAAAGTAGATAATAATAATAGCAACAATAAGATGATATTTTTTGTCAGTTTATTTTGTATTTTTTAATTTTTTGACTTGGACCATTCTGGCTTTCAATTGATTGAGACTATTAGTGCATAATCTAAAATATGTCTTCATCCAAATAAAAAATATATATTTAAAAAAAACAAAATATGTTATCGTGGGGACTATAATAAAAAAGAAGAAAAATTAACTAAATTAAAAAAACTGTATCTATGTTTTACAAATGTTAATAAGATAATGTAACGGTTTAACAAGTTAAAAAATATATTTGATAGTATCAGAATTATCAAAAACACCCCAATTAAGCTCTTCATATGGCAGATTATCTTCTAAAAGTTCTGTGTCATATTTGTCCTGGTTTAGAAAGAGAAGAAGTATATTTTATGCTTCTATACCTTTAGGTTCTTAAAAAAACCTTGATGGACTGGCGGTATAAACTGAGATAGTTGTTATATATTTTACTTTTTTCCATTACAGGCAACCAAAGTGCATGAAGGACAGGGCATTCTATCTAAATTTTATATGGGTCAAACAGTTTAAAATGTAACAATTGTATTTTGAGCGAAGACACTTTTCGGAGCAAAACGTTTCATTATCAGTATTACGAAAAATGATTTTTTGATGAATAACCGTCTTATCCAATTAAATTTTTGAAGCAAAATTGGTCCTGTCAATCAAATTACGCCGGCGCCGTAAGAAATATCTAGCAATATTCTAGACTGGCTAACATGTAGTTAAGTCTGACTTGTACCACTCTGGCTTTCTGATATATCTTGTTGCGTCTTTACGGTTACAATTTTGAGTGAGATTATATGAAAGTTTTTATAGACTAACATTTTATAACCTCGTGAGTAGATAGAAAATTACACCCAGGAATCGTAATATATTGAAATTAGAAAATAAAAAAAATTGACTTAGTCCACTCTGGTTTTAACGGCGTTTTTATTAGTTAATTAGTAATAAGGTATTTATTTTGTCATCATTGTTTTTTCGTCAGATATAATGTTGCAGTTACTGATATAAATTATATTTTTTCGAAAATAATATAATATTTTGAAAATTGCACATCCTATAGGGTGGCGCCTCTCATACGACGCAGAGGCTCCAGGGAAAACAACAGTTTGTATTATAATTAAATTTTGTGAGTATATGTACAGCTGGTTCCAAAAAAAATGAATACGACTCTTTACACATTTTTTCGAATATTTGGGCAGTGTATATTTATGTGTCAAGTATTTTGACATGTTAAGGTTATTTTGACATTGTATAAAGCAACTTTGTTTTTGACAAAGTGAAATTAGAGAAATGGGAGACTGGTATCATAGAATATACTGCCCGAAATAATAAAAATATGTTTTAAATCGAACCAGCTGTACGTTAATTGACAGAACTTTTTAAAAATATAGAGAGTTCTACAGGGTGTCCCCCAAAAAAGTTACGTATCAAAGTTGTTTTTTTGTAATGGAATACCCTATATATTAATTGATTTTCGGATTCTGGGAGAAAAATTAAGGTGAGTTTTATAAGAGAAGTATATGACTAAAATGTAAGGTTTTTGACATATTTAACATTTTCTACAAATAAAGAACAATTTTTAAATTACAATAAAAGCTACCTAAAATGGAATTTACCCGGTATATCCTAATATGTAGTTAAATTACTTATACTTTAAGTCAAATTAAAACTTGATCCAAAAAGTTATACTGGGCGAGACAAAATTAATATTGAACATTGGTCACCTTTAAAAGCATGTTACTCTTTTATTTTAAACGGAACACCCAGTATATTATTTCGATATTCAATATCAAAATACTATTAAGGTTGCCTACCCCTCAAACAAAGATTTTCCTAGATATTTTCATTTACATGATTTGATCAGAGTAGATCTTTAGTATTTGATAAAATCTAGGTGGCTGTGATATGTCTGACGTTACTTCCACATAGCTGTCTAATTAGTTCAACTTTAACAACTAGTTCTCATTTTGTGTCAGTTAAAATACACACACACACAAAAATTCTCAGAAATTTGCCGAAAATGCAACCTACATCAGAAAGACTTGATATGATTCTATCAGTTGGTGAATGCAGTGTGCATTCACCATTTAATAGAATACTTAAATGCAACTGATTTTATCTAGTCTGGGTTTTTTTAAGGGGATATGGTTAAAGACAATGTTTAAAAAACTCGACCAACTATTGTCGACAACATGAGAGAAATTATTGCTTATTATTAGCTGCTTTTCGAGGAAGAACTCCACATATGCCTTTTAAAGTTAAAAGATCCTTTTGAAAAGACAATCATTGTATGCAGTTAACAGGAATGGATGCATTTGAGATTTCATCTAGCTAATTTTTGTCATATAATTATAGGTTTATATCTAGTTTTAATTGTGTAATAATTAAAATATGCTTTAAACGTGTATCTTCTTATTACCGTTGAGTATTTTACTCTACAATCTTTAATTTTTGTTAAATTAACAAAAGGTATATCGCAGCCACCTAGATTGTTTCAAATAATAAAGATCTACTGACGTAAAATCATAAAAATTAAAATAACTCCGAGAATCTTTTTCTGATGGGTAGGCAACCTTAATAATAATTTGAAGATATATGGATTCCCCATTGAACACCAGAATAATATACTGGGTGTTCCATTTAAAACAAAGGAGTAACTTGCTTTTAAAAATGACCAATGTTCCATATTAATTATGTCTCACCCTGTATAACTATTAATTTGTATAACTGTTAACTTTTAACATACAATGCTTATTGTATTATAATTAAATATCAGGCTATACAGGGTAAATTAAAATTTATGTAGTTACTAAATTATTTATTTATTGTAAATTATTTCTAAACTTTATTAAAATTTATAACTCTCATGTACAGGGTGGTCGAAATTGGTCTGTTTTAACAGAGAAAACCTATTTCCTGACTAGATAGAGCAAAACCGACATGGATATCATGGGCTCGATTTCTGAGAAACTTTTAATGGCGTAAACCGCCTGTTGATATTTTCACTGCCAACTGAGATACGGGGTCTTTTTGAATTTTTTGCCATTTGAAAAATTGCCCATAACTTTTGTATTTCGCGGAATAATAAAATTCTGTAAAAACGTTCTTAAGGCACTTTTTTAAACACTCGTGGCGTACACAGTTGTTTTCTATACTTGCTTTTTTTGACAAAAATAATAAAAAATATAATTTTTTAAATGCAAATCATAGTTGGCTATAAACTTAAAAAAATGCTGACGTTTAACCTCTTCCAACGATATAAAGTTATGTGTATTTATTTCAAAGGATGAGATATTAGGTTTTTTATCTTTGCTTCGAATCGGGCCTTGGTTTTGTGTTGACCCATTGCCTAATTATTTTTTATCACAATTTAATATTTTATATTATTATTTATCTGCATAATTAAAAACCTTTGAAAAGGTAAATCAACATTCTATATTAGTATTACCAGTTACAAATAAAACGCCAGGGTTACAACTGAACTATTAAATGGAGAATTGGGTTGGAACAAGATGCCTGCTCTTGACCTGCTAGGTCCTGCGATTTAACTCCTTTCGACTTTTTTTATGGGGGGAATTAAAAGACCTTATATATAAGGGAAGAACCATTGGGACGAGAGAAGAATAATTATTGCTGAAGGCTACTAGGCAAGCTTTTGGGCTTATTAAACCAGTTCGCCTAATCAATTGTTGTAGCCCTGTGCTCAAAAGATGTTTATTGTGTATTCAACAAGGAGGTGCTCAGTTTGAACATCTTTGATTTTTTTAGAACTATATTCGTCACGCAAAAAATACGTTTTTTTAGTTTTGTTCTTTGCTTATTGTAGCGATTTCAGTTGTAATTACTAATACTAATAGTTACCGTTACTACTAACAATAGAATGTTAATTTACTTTTTCAAAAGTCTTTAATTATGCAGATAAATAATAATATAGAATATTAAATTGTGATAAAAAATAATTAGACAAATAGGTCAACACAAAATCAAAGCCCGCTTCTATATAAAGATAAAAAACCTAATATTTCTCTCATTCTTAGAAATAGATACCTATAACTTTATATCGTTGGAAAGGGTTAAACGCCAGCATTTTTTAAAGTTCATAGCCAACTATGATTTCCATTTAAAAATTATATTTTTTATTATTTCTGACAAAAAGAGCAAGCATAGAAAAAAACTGAGTACGCCGCTGGATTGTGCTTAAAAAAGTGCCTTAAGAACGGTTTTACAGAATTTTATTATTCCGCGAAATACAAAAGTTATAGGCAATTTTCCAAATGGTAAAAAATTCAAAAAGACCCCGTATCTCCGTTGGCAGTGAAAATATCAACAGGCGGTTTACGCCATTAAACGTATCTCGGAAATCAAGCCCATGACATCTATGTCGGTTTCTATGTCTATCTAGTCAGGAAATAGGTTTTCTCTGTTAAAACAGACCAATTTCGACCACCCATTGTAAACCCTAAAAAATAACCCCAATAAACCTTGCCTCAAAGACAATTCATTTCCCACTTTTTGCAATTATTTTTTTTCTCTCGATCTTGTTCTCTAGCTATCACACACATTGTACAGAATTGAACACTCTACAAAAAAGGTCTCTTAGAATTTTTCGATAAACCTACTCCTTCAAAAGTTATTCACGGTTAAAGTTAACCGGTTAACTCGGTAAATTCCTAAATTCTTCAATTTTTTTGACACAATTATAATTATTTTTGAAAAATTTAATCTATTACTGTAAAAATATACAATTCTGATGGTGTTAAGGTTGGGAACTAAGAAATCTTCAAGTCTAATGAAGTTTAAACCATTTCAGTATAGCTGATTTATTTTAATAAATATGCTTTAGTTGGATTTTGATATTTCTTCTTATACTCGCTTACAATCTGAATCACATATTGTTTTTCATCTTCACTTCTAGATAAAATATTAATGTACTCTTCTGACGATTTAACAGCTCTTTCTGCAGTATCATTAACTACTCTCAACTTCTTAGATTCAAAATCTAAGCCTGTCATATATCAAGGATCCTTTAACCATTCCGTACTGGCTAACTGCAGAAAACTTGTATCAATATTAAACCGTGTAAAAATTGTAACGAATTCGAATTTATGAAATAATCAATGTGTTTGTTTATAAACCATTTAAAATCATCCTGATTAAAAATGAAGCGTTTAGAAATATCGAATTCTTCGTCATTATTCAGTTTTAAAAGCTTCGATCATTTTCTGCCTAATACTACCGTATGATCGAAAAAAAAACGGCGTCCAGTTGGCTGGGAAATAACGATCGATGACGTTTCCCATATAAATTTACATATAAAATGACAGCGATCTTCATTTCATAGCCATCGTTGACGCCGTTTTTATTCGATCATACGGTATAATAAGTATTAGAATTAACTACCTGTCATGCATTCAATTGTTTTTCATGATTTAAAATTGCCTACCATGGTATCATGGAAATTGCTTTTTTGCAAATAACAGATTAAATTTTTTAAAAATGATCATAATTTTGTCAAAAAAGTTGAAAAATTTAGGAATAATGAGTGGTTAACTTTAACCGCAAATAACTTTTGAAGGAGTATAGGTTTACTGAAAAATTGCAAGAGACCTTTTCTATAGAGCGTTCAATTTTGTACAAGAATGTGTGATTGTCATGGCTGCTAGAGAACAAAATTGAGAGAAAAAAAAATATTTGCAAAAAGTGGCAAATTCCTATGTAATTTAAATGGGAAATGAATCGTCTTTGGGGTAAGGTTTATTGTGAATATTAGGGGTTTACAATGGTCTGTTATTTTTTTAGAGAAATGATCAACTTTGTAAATAACGGACACCCTAATGCAGCAGGGCCATGTCTTTATGTAAAAATAAAGAAATTGTATAACTTTTTCCATAGCAACTGTTAAAATTGCCTTATATCTATCAAAAATAGTAACCGCAAGGTAGATTAAATGATACTTTACCAGCGAGGATAGGTTAAAAACTTTATTTCTTCTCGCACGTTTTTTAATTGCTTCCATTTTTGAAAATGCTTGTATTCCTTTTCATAAGTTATTCGGGATTTAAATGGAAGTAGTTTGGATATGGCGTTTGTCGCCTCAGTCTGAATATCTGTTGGTAATTTACTTATTTCGTTTTGAGCCATTTCTGGCTCCAATTCAATCAGCAATCGACATGAAAGGGAATTAAAAAATATTGACTCAAAACTGACAACTAAAGAGGCAGCTTTATTTATTTGTCAAATTACAAACCAACGCCAACCCAGCACAATATTTTTTCTACTTGTAATAAATTCCTTGAAATAATAATTTCTGAATATTTTTTAAAACGTAACTCGCTATTAAAAAAAAATATTGTTTTATACACGACGATAAAATTGCATTATCGTCTCCCGAAATTAATTCATTTGCGATTTCATCGCTCGTGAATTAATCTTTTCGGTCGACGATAAAATACCATTTTATTGCCTTGTATAAAAAATAAATATTATTGTACAAATTTTGCAATAAATAAAAACGTACCTTTATAGTCCAGTTGTAGCAGTCGTCGCTTTCGCTCTCACGATCCAGGCGTTCGACGTCCAGGATCTTGGAGCTGAGGCGTTCCAGGATGATGCCGATGTCCTTGATGCTGAGGTGGCGTTTCTGGTCGACGCTGAGCTGGTCCACGAGCAGCAGGAACTTTTCGGAGGTGACGGCCTCGTCCTCCATGACGGTGTTCTCCGTCTCGGACTCGGAGGACTCGTGCTCGGAGAGGCCCCCGCCCCGGCCGCCACCTTCAACGTCTGCAAAACGGGTGCAGGTTGCCTATTTTGAGATCTCTCGTTGATTCTTACTGGGACTGCTGCGCAGGGCTAGATTTGACGAGGGGGGCGAACCGAAAGCGGGACCGAATGCGGACAGGCTCAATCAAATGAGTTGAAACGGATCAAATATAAAATCAAATCAAATCTTTAGTTATAAAGTGGTACAAGGTATAAAGTGGTTCCGGAAACTTTGGCAGCATATTCTGCAGATAAAAATAAGTAAAAAAGTTCGTATAAATGTATGTCCTGAAATGCTTAGTTTCGGAGATACAGGGTGTCATTTTGATTTCTTTCTATCTAATGTCTGAAGTAACGTCAATATTTGGATGAAAATTGGTATCTGGGAGTTTTTTTATATGAGAATTTTGTACTCAGTAGTTTTATACAGGTACGGATGAAAAGTTGTTACTCTTCAAAATTATGCAGTTAAAAAATATGTAGGTGGTGCCCTCTACGAGTTTATCAATGTCAGAAAAGTCAAAGATACCAATTTTCATCCAGGTATTGACGTTGCTTTATAAATTATTTGGAAAAAAAACGAAAAAAAATTGATACACCCTGTACCTCCAAAACTAAGCATTTTAGGACATACATTTATACGAACTTTTTTACGTGTTTTTATCTACAGAATATGCTGTCAAAGTTTCCGGAATACAGTTCGTACCACCCTGTATATTCAGTAACTTAGGGTTTCCATATGTTAAGGAAACTTAATATTATTTTTTTATTTATTTTCTTAGTATAAAATTAATTATTTTAGCTTATTTCTAAATTTTAAATTGCTTCACTGTAAATACCTGTTTCCTGCAACGAACATTGGCGTACGCATGCCCTAACACTAGGCTAACTGTGACATATTTGTGAAACATTGTAAGACGAAATTATAAAAAAAAACGATACGCGCGGAATGTCTTAATTTTGAAGTTAAATAAGAGAGCTCTTTGAAGGTGATGCAGAAATGCCGTTGTGGACTGTATATAAATTTATTTTTTTCTGGTTTTATTTTATCTGTGTAATTTAAATTTAATTACTGAGAAAAACCACACAAAGAAAATGAAAATCCCGCTCCTACCTTAATGGTCGTCTCAAGGTGCGATTTCCTAGCGACGCACACACGACAAAATGTTATGTTTAGCTTGACAAAAATCCAGATTATTTTTTTTTCGTATGTTTATCCACAGATTGTTTTTCTTATTACATTTGTAGAGCTAATTTTTAAATATTATATTTTTTTCCATTCAACTAGAATAGTCCAAGAGTTACCAAAAATTGATGCAGTTTGCACCTTTCGTGGAGCGCAAAAGAGTGTCATTTACATCCAGCACAGCCATTTGAATTTTTTTCTACTGTCAATAATATGTGAAAAAAAGCTTGTAATAAACTTAGAAATTCATAATTTAGAAAATATGTCTTCTTAAAATTAAAAAAATCTTTTCTTGATATTACAGGACTGTTTTTAGAAATTAGTGCGTGACTCCTTACAAATAAAGGGCTATTTCAAAAAAAGGGCAGATTTGGGAAAGCTGATTTTTTTATACATGTATCAACATACATTCGCGATTTTAATTTTATGAAATTAAAAGCGGAACTCCGTGGAACTCATTACTATAACCCATTATGAAAACAAAATTATAAAAAAATAAACCAAAAATAGTGTGTTTAAAATATATTCTTTAAAATGGGACATGCATATCGACGCTTTGTAGAAAAAATTAAGCTCTGCCTGTTTTGCATTAAGATCTGTTTCTAAGGAGCTTAACTTGTCAGTAGCTAGAACTGTTATTATTATGCACTTTTTGAGTCGCGCCTCAGATATGCCCTTCCATTCTGGGGTACGTGTTGTGCGACTCAATTTGACCGCATTTTCAAGCTCCAGAAGAGAGTTGTTCGATATTCACTGGGACTAAACAGCAGAACTCATTGCCAGGACTTTTTTAAAAAATTAGAAATATTAACTCTTCCTTCCTTATTTATATTTGAATCCGTTTGCCTAACACGTAAGCATGTATCAGCTTCTCAAAAAAGGCCATCTCACACTTATCCACTAAGGAACGCGGAGCAAGATCTTTATCTACCTACCCCACGCTCACAGTTAGTTAAAAGTTCAATATTATACAAATCGAAAAAAATGCACAATCACCTGCCATTTGAAATCAAATCCATAACATAATTTTCTTATTTTGCAATGCATTGAAATCTTATTTACTAGACAAGGCTTTATACGCCGTAAATTACTTATATTTTGATAATCGAATTTGATCTTGTAAACACTGGTGTAATATTTGCTATTACTATATTTACTATAAACTTACTAAATATTTTTGAATCTTATTTTTTTTTTATTCTTTGACATTATAAACATTCATAAATGTTTATTTTAAATAATAAGGCTGACTATGTAATCTGTATACCTGTTTTGTTTTTATACTTGTTATTAGTTTTTATACTTTGTTTTGTATTCTCTTTTATTTGCTAGTTTACTTTACTTTTGTCAATAAATGTCAATAAATAAAGGCATTTATTTTATTTTATTATATTGATGTTGTTTAATTGTACAACATGTCTGTAGCTATATTGTCCATAATGATAAATAATTTTCAAATGGCTGTGCTGGGTGTAAATGGCACTCTTTTGCGCTGCATGTTTGTGCAAGGCTAACGCTGTTCCCAGAAAGTGCAGGCTCCATCAACTTTCGGTAGCGCTTCCACCGTTATAGTTAGTCGGAAAAAATTATAAAATTTAAAATTAGGTCCACAGATTATACGACATAGATTTTATAACAACGACAGTGAGTGGTTGAACATACGAAAAAAAAATTGTAATTTCGATTTGTGTCAAGCTAAACATAGCTTTTTGCCGTGTGTGCGACGTCTGGATCCGCGTCTCGCCGCACACTGGTTCGTTTTTATGAATGTACGTCTTTTATTATGTCAATGAAAAGTAATATATCTAGGAATGTATCCCTTTATAGGGAGGCGAATCAGTATGCATTTACAACGTACGATATTTTTGGCACTACTTAATGCTACTTGATTTAAAAGTCTATAATTCGCCGTTAGTGAATGTTCAATATACAAAATAAAAAAATATACAGTCAGTTAAAAGTGGGACAAAATAAAATGCGTATGAGTCTATAATGTGAGAAAACATTTTTCTATCATTTATTATCCAGATTTTAACATCTTTTTAAAAAAGGATTAAGCGTATGGTAGTATTTGCCTTGCATTAAACTGAAATATTTTAATCCGTTTCACCTCGTTTGACTGTATCTATTCAAGGTTGTGTAAGTAAAGGTTGCCTTGTAACTTTAGTCTTTTGATTTTCATTATTTATTTATAGAAGCTTTTAGATCAGATTGTATATTTCTGCAGTGAAAATTGACAATTTGTCTTATTGCAGTATAAAAGTTTCTAATAAACCATAATAATAATTATAACCATAGTCCTTACAATGAGAACTCTCGCTTCAAAATAATTTTGATCCTTCGAAAATTTGAGTTATTGAACCTTGTTTCTAAATATTCTAACTTTAATTTTCTTGGAATTTAAGTTCGGGAAAACGCTGATTAGGTTTTCATTTGGTTTAAAATCAAATAAAAATATTTAAACCAAATGAAAACCTAATCAGCATTTTCCTGAACTTAAACCCCAAGAAAATTAAACTTAGAATAATTTTAATATTGTAGTATTGTCAACATTTACAAAATTATGAATGATTTCAAAAAATAGTATATATGTATACTATGAAGAGTTTCACTTTGAAATATGGAATACTGTTTTGGAAACAAATACAGAATATTATAACATTGTTTCGTCTATAAAAAAAACATTCAGTGGGGTATATAATATTTAAAATTTCCGACAGCTGTATAAAGTTCAAATCCATTAACGTATTGACAGTGTCAGCCTTCAAGAGTGTGTTATATTTACGTTCGATATAAAAGCAAAAATTATAACAACAAAAATATCACCCCTATAATACAAGAACATTGCCCACATATAAACTTTCCTTGAATAAAAAAAAAGCCCACCTACAACAACCTACCTGGTAGCATACAGGTTATCGGCTAAAAAATACATTTTTAAATGGACAGGAGGAATATTATAACTTAATTTAGGACTCTATTGTACAGAGGAGTGCATTAATTTCTGATATGTAATGGCGGGTCTCCAATTTTTAGCATGGAGCATAGAATTTTGTTTTAGATTTTAATTTTGTTGCTGACGTAATTTGTTATATGTATTTTAATTGTACTTCTTTTATATCTATTTGATTGTTTGAAACATCTGATATGTTTAAGTCGGCCATATTTGAATCCCATCTCGGTGGATCTAAGATTTTTGATATGCTCCTTCCTTAAGAACCACCTAACTAGACATAAAACTTGTCAAAATTAACATTAATTCTAGAAAGATCAAAAAAGGATAGAACGTTTAGGATAGAACGTTTCCAGAAACACAAATAACTTCCAAAGAATTTTTTTTCTCGAATTTTAAACTACACTATTTAAAAATCTTTCTTACTCGATGTAAAAATAGATTACAACCATTTTAAGATCAACTGGCAGTAAGCGCCATTCCAAGATAAAGAAGAGTTCGGAACAAGTAATGACATCTATAGGACTTGACCTCGCCAAATTTATTGTCAATTGTCATTCTCCAACCGTCTTTAACGTCATTTTTTTCGATCGTATGGTACAAACGTGGTGGATACGTAAGTTTGAATGATATTGGTCTAAAGTTACAAGGCAACCTGGATTCATTAAACAACATAATCAATTTAATAGCCTTGGTACCTACCTAAAAAACGGACATGACGTGGCTGTGGAGACGCTTGAGCTTGTTGCGCGCCCGCCTCCTGGATGGGCGACGTCGCTACCGATTTGTGCACGGCGATGCGCCGACCCTCCTCGTGCAGCGCGCAGCAGTGGAAGTCGCATTCGACCGCGCCATTCTGGGGACTGCCGGCGCGGGGCAGGTGCGCATGGTGCATGCACTCGGGCGTGTGCACGTGCACGGGCGCTTCCAAGGAGCTGGCGCGACGGGCTCCCATAGATCGAACCTAACGAAAAAATTATAATAGGTTAAGTCACTTTTATACGAGTGTATTCACATGGTACAACACAATGACTAAAGAATACAAGGACATGTAACGGCCATATACGGGCTGCAGCAAAATTTGTGACCTTTAGAGCCATTTTTTTGGACATAACGAATTAATCATTAGCTGTTCATCAGTGACAATTTTAGCGATTTTTAATAGTTGGTTGTGTGTAGTGAACTTTGTATAAACTTTATTACAATGGTAATTTATTCAGTTTTCAAGTGTAAAAGGTGCAATGATAAGAAAGATCCAAGAGTTACGTTTTATAGGGAAATAAACAGTCCACTACACCTTTTCAGCTTTTTTTATTGAATTCGATAATTATTTTTCTGATATTATATGTACTTGATATGTGCTATACGTCGATACTAGTTTTGTAACTTTTGTTAACATTTTAATACGTTTTTTTCGTAATTAATTAGTATGATACCACAGGACACACCAGAGGCGTAGTAAAAATATTTACCAAAAATATAAATATCGCTTCAAGCGGCTATGTTAAGAAAAATATGTGCCACAGCACTGTTTGGAAGAACGGTCACAGTTTGGTCTCGGTTGCTATTTGTCCTTGTATTCTTTAGTCATTGGTACAACAAAATTGCGTTGATTAATTTTAGAAGTTCGATCTGTAAACTCCATCCTAACCTAAATTTTATTCCTGTATTTTCTGATTTGTTGGGTTTCGATAAGTAAATTGAAAGTTTCAGTTAAATTATATTTATATATAAAAGAGTAAGCAACATCTTGAAATTGTACTTCTTGTATTTATAACTGCAGAGCAACTGTATACATAATTTTCCGATAAGATCATATTAAATCTGAAATAATAAATTCGATGCTATGTACTAAAACTAATAATTGTAATCTTTAAGAGGAAAGTACAATACGATCTAAATGGACAGAGATGGCTTTTAAATGAAGATCGCTGTCATTTTATACAGGGTGAGTTTTCTACGATATTCTCTTGGTATCTTGGAAATTAGGTACTGGAGGTAGAGAGTTCGTTAAATGGAGATAGAATTGAAGTTTTAAGATGTCAAATATATGCACCTTTCGGATTTTTGAAAATAATTTATGGATCACAAGATATTTTGAAAGAAAATGGTTATTCGACAACGAGTGAACTTGTTTCCTGCAAACTAAGTGAAATTAATCAAAAAATATAGAATTTGCTACAACTTAGTAGTTTTTAGAAGAAAAAAAAACATATTATAGCTATGTCGCTGGAAAACCTAAAAAATAGCGCTTTTTACGAGGCCACGGCCATAGATATTAATGGAATTAGGGAATATTTTTAAAATAGCCAAAATTTGTTTTTTTTTATAAACTTTCAAAAATCCGAAATCCAATATCTTTGACCTAACAAAACTGCAATTCTTTTCCCATTGAACCGACTCTAACTCCAGTAGTTTCCGAGATACCTATAGAGAACATTGAATGAAACTCACTCTGTATGTATAAATATATGGAGAGTGTCGTCGATCGTCACTTCCAAAACAACCGGATATATTTTTAAGCTAATTAATATTTACTTATATTTTTTACGCTTATATGTAGTAACGTTTATTATGACATTTTAACTGTTAAAGTTGTCAAAATAAAGCTTCAATCAAAACCTCGCAATTAGTCGAATAAATTAGTGGTTTCAATTAGCGTAGATGTTTGTTCCATTAATGTCAATGTAAACATTAAGAATGTCAAAATTAGTGGTAGACGTTTTCAATTAGTGGAAAAAATTATCAAACTCTTAACTTTTCCTTTCTAATTATACTTCAAAATCTGCGAGAAACGTCATTTTGGCCTTTCATTATCTACCGTCAATAGAAAGAACACTTGATTAGAAATCAAAAGTTGATTGTTTTATAAGCTAAATATTAGGCTTTCTCTATGGATACAACTGACTAACGCAAGCTGTTGCTAGGATATTTTATTAATTTTAATTGTGTTTTTTAGACATTGTGAATGATCGTAAACTAAAAAGTATAAAGTGTAATTGAAACCACTAATTTACTCCACTAATTGCGAGGTTCTGAACGAAGCTTTAGAGTCTAATATTTTTAGGTTAACTCTATTTCGAGGTCTACATACCGTACGATTGAAAAAAAAAACGGTGTCAGTAATGGCTATGAAATGAAGATCGCTGTCATTTTATATGGAGAATGTCATCGATCATCATTCCTAAGCCAACTGGATACTGTGTTTTAGTACTTTTTAAAATATTGTACTTTCTGGTATGGATTTTGCACACATTTACTTTGAGTTTGACATTTATCGATTAAAATAAATGAATTGGTGGTTAGTGTACCGATGTTGCTATAACATGTTAATTTAGATATACCTATTATAATATTTAAAAAATTACCGGCTAACAGAACAACCGAAAACATACTAATTGCGTGCAAATAAACTTAACACTGACTTCATCGTGGTTTATCACAGTGATCTGCGGGCTGGCCCTCCTAGGAGGGGTGAATCCGTCCTGAGCTGGTGATGGCCCTTTGGGCGTAGCCGCCTGAATGCCTCCTGGCGGTCGTTTACTAGGTGAAAATTTGGCAGGCGACGGTACGTCGGCAGGCCCCCTTCCAGGCCGCTGGTCCCAGTGCAGAACAACCGTGACCCGGCCCTATACGTACAAAATTATTATTGTTAAGTAAAGAGCTAGTGGTTATAAACTAAGGTTGTCTGGTAACTAGGTAATGGTATGGAAGCTAGCGGAGGGTAACTTAGGGCTCTTGCATAGGCATATAATCAACGAAGTTGCTAAGGGTTAGATTCCTAAGCAGTCGCCATCATTCGCCAAAACGCATACTAACCTGGTATATTCACGGATATGCTCTGTTTTTTTTCTCAGGTAAGGGGGGATTTCAACAGACGATGACAGAAGAAAAGCAGATGACGTCTCATACCAATCTATTTATTTTACTAAAAAAAGTTTCCAATATTTTTTAAGTTAACTATGGATGGGTTTAAATACAAATCCGTCAACCGTCGTCTCTTGTTGTTTTTAACCAGTTGTATAGGTTTATTTCAAAAATGTCAGATCATATTTTAATTTTATTGAACGATGAACGAGAAACGGGCGCCGATGCGTATGAACTCACCTTTAGATTTTTGAGGCTTGTCAAAGTCTTGCCAAATTATAGGTTATAATTTTGTGTCAACTTATGTCAAATACCCTGCATTTTGAAAGATGATGCATTTTGATTCATGTTATTACGTGTGTTTTGTGTCTTTTGAAGTCAAGTGGTGGAAAAATTGAGGGAAATTTAACTGTAGACCCAGAGCACTTTTTATAGTTAATACTCGCTGCCCAGGCAGAAAGTCTAATACACCAATAAAGTTACCATCAATAAAGTTTGTATACCATCTTGTCGTAGTGTATGTCGTAACATATACTAAAAACTGGAGTAGCTGTAAAATATCGACATCACACGACAGGTAAATAATGGATTTGAGTAGTGCAGAAAAATAATGTCAAAAGATACTGGTTTAAAAAAATTAAGATTAAAGATAATTAATCAACCTTTAAGGTATAAAATTTGGTAAGTGTTATTATTAGTAAAATAATTTGTTTCATTTATGTTGTTTTATTTATTCCTGTGGAATATTACAAATTTGTATTCGTACATAAGTAAGAAATAGTTCTTTTTTATATTTTTTTGGTATGTGGTGTTTTCTTCTTGTTTGTTTTGTATTAACACATACCGTTTTTTTACTAAAATAACTCGATTACATTTTTTTAGTTTTATACAGTTTTTTTCACAATATTTTGAAGTAATCACTTGTCAGTCAAATTTTAAATATATTAATTTCCTGCTTTGAATAAGAAGACTAAGGAAGGAGCATATCAAAAATCTTAGGTACACCGCGATGGGCCTCAAATATGGCCGACTTAAATTCCGGTTTATCAGTGTCGTTCTAATTTTATTTAAAAAATGTAAAACTATGATGTAGGGTAGACGTGGGGTAGACTCAATAATTTGTTGTTTTATTTTTACGTTGTGAATAAATGTTGGTAGTTATTAAAATTGTTATAAAATATATAATTCTAATAAAAATAGATAAGTTATAATAAGTATTTATTAACACAAACATTCGATACGCTACTGAAGCAGGTAAGTCAAATTAACGTATCTAAATTCTTTGACATCTAATCTTTGACAAGTAATAAATAAAAGCTAAAATGCAAGAAAAATATATAATTTAGTTAATTTAAGTGAATTTCATAAATGATCGGTTTACTACACGTATGTATATTATATAGTCACTTACTAGCGAAAAGTTGTTCCATTATTTCTCATCAATTTTTGCCGAGATCTACCGCACGCTACACAACCAACTATTTTAGAGTCTTTTTCGATAAATCGCGATAGTGTCACTGTTAATTTAAGTTCTGCCACAATTTCCATCTAGATTTACTACCTTTATACAACTATCAGTAGTAGAATAAATAATAAATAACATAAAATAAGCTTTATAAAACATAAAATATAAATAACATATAATAGTTAATAATAAATAACATAAATAAAAGACTGACAAATCCACAAAATTTCAAATCAAATTCAAATGTGTCAAATGAATCGTCAAACAGAACTGTCAAGGATCCCCACCCTAGAGTGCTTTTATGGTGCTTTTTCCGCCCACCATGCATGAATACATGGATAGCATTATGCTCTTTGAATAAGAAGACTAAGGAAGGAGCATAATGCTATCCATGTATTCATACATGGTGAGCAGAAAAAGCACTCCAGGGTGAGATCTATCACTGACTGATTTGTTTGTGGAAACAATTGACTAACAGACATCTCTGCTGAATAAGAAGACTAAGGAAGGAGCATAATGCTATCCATGTATTCATGTATGGTGGGCGGAAAAGCCACCATAAAAAAGCTCTCTAGGGTGGGGATCCTTGACAGTTCTGTTTGACGATTCATTTGACACATTTGAATTTGATTTGAAATTTTGTGGATTTGTCAGTCTTTACAGACTTATTTTATGTTATTTATTATTTATTCTACTACTGATAGTTGTATAAAGGTAGTAAATCTAGATGGAAATGGTGGCAGAACTTAAATTAACAGTGACACTATCGCGATTTATCGAAAAAGTCTCTAAAATAGTTGGTTGTGTAGCGTGCGGTAGATCTCGGCAAAAATTGAGTGAAATAATGGAACAACTTTCGCTAGTAAGTGACTATATAATATACATACGTGTAGTAAACCGATCATTTATGAAATTCACTTAAATTAACTAAATTATATATTTTCTTGCATTTTAGCTTTATTTATTGTCAAGATTAGATGTCAAGAAATTTAGATACGTTAATTTGACTTACTTTCAGTAGCGTATCGGATGTTTGTGTTAATAAATACTTATTATAACTTCTCTATTTTATTAGAATTATATATTTTTATAACAATTTTAATAACTACCAACATTTATTCACAACGTAAAATAAAATAAATTATTGAGTGTACCCCACGTCTACCCTACATCATAGTTTTACATTTTTTAAATAAAATTAGAACGGCACTGATAAACCGGAATTTAAGTCGCCCATATTTGAGGCCCATTGCGGTGTACCTAAGATTTTTGATATGTTCCTTCCTTAGTCTTCTTATTCAAAGATTATGCTCCTTCCTTAGTCTTCTTATTCAAAGGTACCAACTTATTTATTTGTAAAATAAAATAAACTACTTTGAAATTAAAATGACAGACACATCTATCACTGTCAAGGATCTTGTCGTTGCATAAAGTATACTGCATTGCATGACTTGAATAGGCTTATTTCAAAGTCGTTATAGGAACAAGAGATATCAATGGTCGCTTTTTTAGATATTGAGGGAGCATTGGCCAACAAATCTCTAGAATGGTGGAGAAACTCACCAGGGCAGAGACATTCGTCAAAATTTACGGCAGACCCGGTAACCAAAGACAGAAAGACAGTCAAAGCTCTAGTGGGTCTACCAACAGGGCATTGTAAGCTGAATAGGCAGAGTTTCAAAGTCGTTATAGGAACAAGAGATATCAATGGCCGCTTTTTTAGATATTGAGGGAGCATTGGCCAACAAATCTCTAGAATGGTGGAGAAACTCACCAGGGCAGAGACATTCGTCAAAATTTACGGCAGACCCGGTAACCAAAGACAGAAAGACAGTCAAAGCTCTAGTGGGTCTACCAACAGGGCATTGTAAGCTGAATAGGCAGAGTACTTAAACCGACGAGTAGCGACAGTCCCGTTTTCAATTTTCTTTGCGGCTGCGCGAAATAAGTAGGTTATCTGTCATACGAAGAAGCGAAGTTGCCACTGTTGCCATTTATCAATATCTCTATATACTTTATTTCAAGTATACCTCAGGCAACGAATCGTTTTTTTAATTATTTAATAGCACTAAGATATTTTATACATTCAAATTTAGAAATAAGGATAAAACAAAACAAAAAAATATGTATAAAACTTTATAATTAATTCCACTTCAAATTGTGAGAAGTGTATACCATGTTTATAGGACCACTTCCTAAGTTGAACAGTTAAATACGTATTCTATCTGCCAAACACGTCAAAAGAGAGAGAAAGAAAATTTGGTCCCACTACATCAAAAGAGCCGACGGTTTCTGTCGCTACTCGGCGATCTACGTACTCTGGAATAGGCATCTAAACCTAATGGAATGGACGGCCGAAGCCATCGGTATTACTAGAGAGCTACATGGAGAGTTCAGTCTCCAAGTTGCCAGAGTTTGTGAAAATGATAGATAAAGTAAACGGCAGATATAGAGATTGGTAAATTGTTGATACGATGGATTCACCGAATGATCCGGATATTGAAATTGTCCGGATCATCAACTTCGACAATCGTATCCGTATTGAATTTCAGATATCTAAATATTTAGATATTCAGATATCTGAAATACGTGCGATATTTAATTATCATTTAAATTCAGATATCAGAAAGATATTCATTGCAGATATCTAAATATCTAGATAGTCCAGATATTTAAATATCTGGATTACACGGATATCATCCTGATTGGTACAATAATTACCAGACAACCTTTCTCTCTCTAATTTAGTAATACCCTTTAATACTTAAGAATGGAGTTTGAGCTACTACCTTGTTGTCCATGATTTTCCATGAAGGTGTTTCATCCTGCAGTTCCAACGCATTGATTGTTTCGCATACGATGCGGGGTATAGCAGAAACTACTGAAACAAACACGGGATAAAATACTACTTGGTCGATAACAAGCGACTGAAGTCAAAATATTTTAAATTTACAAATATGATATAGACACTAAAAGTCACTTCGAAGTCTCGATATATTATTAAAATGTTGTTTTTATAACAGCTTCAAATTTAATTTACTAAGAATATTTTAACGAAATTAAAGGCCCTCAAATTAAAAAATACCGGGTGCGTCTCAAAAGTGGCTCACACCTATAACTTTTTTATTTTTTCAGATAAAACAATGAGATTTGGTATGTTAGTATATGACATAAATTAGGATTGATTGACGTATTCAATTGTTATCGGTCCCTTCAGGTTTCACCGGAAAACTTTTGATTTTTAAATGACACCCTCGGTATTTTTTTACTTTATTCGATAGAAAATGACACTCTGAATCGAATGACATATCATATGTCAATTTTTGACATAGTCACTCAAAAACAAATTCTATTTTAAATTTTAATCTAGGTGCCATGGCTGTGTAAAAAACACTAATTTTTAATCAAGGATCCTTGGAAAAATAGATTTGATCGTCTAATGTTTATAGTGTCTTGTCCTGGCCGGTTAAAAGATGCCAAATCGTATTTTTCATCATATCTCAATTTTTTCAAATGGAACGAGTGTGGCTCATTAGCATATTTACAAAAAGCATTTTTTTACGAATAATTTGATACCACACACTTGGTATTTTCAGTCAAATTGTCGTTATGAACCGTGTGTTACAATTTCAAATAAACCATATGCTAAAATGTCAAAAGTTGACATATGATATGTCATTCGATTCAGAGTGTCATTTTCTATAGAATAAAGTAAAAAAATACTGAGGGTGCCATTTAAAAATCAAAAGTTGTAGTCATTTTCTGAAACCGGAAGTGACCGAAAACAATTCAATACGTCAATCAATCTCAATTTATGTTTATCTGAAAAAATAAAAAAGATGTAGGGGGTGAGCCACTTTTGAGACGCACCCGGTATATGTTTCATAAGTGAGAGGATTAGTTCTGAATTTTTTTATTATTTTAATAAAGTCTGTCCAACGAGTCAGGCAAGATTTCGACAGGCGACAGGACTGTGAAGTAACCAGTCACTGTCAAGTATCCTCTGGTTGAACAGTCTATATTATACCTTTATCAGTATGAGGTATCTAAGTTAAAAGATGACAATTTAAAAATGATAAAGTAATTGAAGAATGTATGAAACAAATAGTGGCGTAAAGCCTCTATTTGTGGCCTAGATCCATCGTCGTCCAGAATCGTGAGTTTCGCTCAGGATAGCTGTGGCGGTAACCATCATCAATCTGCCTGGAAAAAAAACCACAATCCTGAATTACTCTGGATCTAAGTTACAAATTGGGACTTTAGAAACTCGTTTGCTCATTATATTATTTTGCATTTCCATCCTCAAGTCGTTAACTTGGATGTCTAACGTATTTGACATTCGTAATTCGTGGATAGATCGCAGATCGTGTGTAGGGACTTGTTCGTTAATGATCAACATGGTTCGTGTATGTGTAGCGATTTGTTCCTGCAGGCGGTACCTTGACAAATATTAAGATCTTCGCATCAGCACAAACTGCTTATTCGTCTAAATTTAGGCTATATTCAGAATTAATTCGTTAAATACCTAAAAGATTTTAGTTGCTAAACTGAAAAAAAAGCTAGATCTACCCCCACTACCGTTTCAGTAAGACTGAACGAATAGTGAACATGAGAACATGTCAGTGTAAAAATAATACTCAGACCTGAACAATATATTCATACTTTTAAGTGAATCTGAAAAAAAATGAAAGATCTCTAGATCAACAAAATGTAATCATTACAAGGAAACACTAAATCAATCAGACTGATTCGGTGAGATTGAAAAATGAAAACACTCCTTGCAGCAGTTTGATTGACTTAGGGACACTCGGACAATCGCGTCATTGATGACGCTTCTGTCTCCTCCTTTGGTTGCGACTACTCTAACAATAGTGGTAGAGCAAGCACTGATTTTGATAATCTCAAGAGCTTTAAATACTAGTATTGAGAGAGATTGACGTAGATAATACTGACCTGCGCGTATTACATCTACTCCCGCCGGCAACCAGCGCTCCCCCGGCCTCAGCAACAGCAGCACGCTGTTGGGCGGCAACGTTCGAAAGTATTCGGCGTCCTCTACCTGCGTGCCGTCCGACTCCAAAACGAGTCGTACCGGTTCGGCGGCGGCGACGCCCAACTTGTCTCGACCGCGCGCCACCAACTCCTCGAGGCTGCCCACCACCAGCCCCTTGCGCACGCTACGTTGCCCGTCCCATAGCTTGAAGGGTCGCTTGCCGCGCGCGTCCTGTCAAAAACACTTAGGTTAGAATCATAAAAATTAAATATGCTATAAGCCGCGTACCTAACGAACGAACATGAATACGCACAAGTGCCACCACATTGGAAACACATGTAATAAAGCCATATAAAATATACAGGGTCGCTTTTATGTATGGTCGATTATTAGGTAAAATATAGGAGGTACCGCAAAAAGTTAAATATAAAAGTTATAGGGTATATAAATATCTATTAGTGGGTAATAAATATAAGTATACAAGGTCGGTCATAAAGTCGTGGCACATTAAAGTTTCATTTTTTTAAATGGAACTCCCTGTATATTATTGCATATTTCCGTTCTTCCTTAAATTCTAAGCAAAAATCGAAATACATACAATGTACCTCATACCAACCGTTTCCGAGTTATTGACTTTTGAAAAAATCCCTTAAACAATTTCATTTAATTCATTTCGATATATTCAGTTTTAACAATGCCATTTTGCCGAAACTGTTATACATAATAATATTGGACATTAGTTCTCAGTAGTCATTGGGGCACTTGAGCCAGACAGACAGCCAGATATCCGATATGGATAAATAGGAGTGTGACGTAAATCAGGTAAGAACAGTTAAAATACACTAGTGAACAAGAATGAACAGGTTTGGACCACTTTGAACCGCTTTAAAATAGAAATAAACAGGTTTGAACAAAAAATGAACAGGTCTGTTGTTTTAAGCTAAAAAGCGGTTCAAAGCAGTTCAAAAGCGGTTCAAAGTAATCCAAACCTGTTCATTCTTGTTCATTAGTGTATTTTAACTGTTCTTACCTGATTTACGTCACACTTCTATTTATACATATCGGATATCTGACTGACTGTCTGGCTCAAGTGCCCCAATGACTACTGTTCTCAAGTTAGAATTTATAGATGTATAAAATGAGAGTATATCGCACGTCTGGAAATTACAAAATTTTCGCTTAACATTTCAATTCTTCAATTTATGTACATTGTGTATTACGATTATTGATTAAAATTGAAGGAAGAATTGAAATATGCAATAATGTACAGGGGGTTTCATTTAAAAAAATAAAGTTTGATGTGACACAACTTTATGATCGACCCTGTATACTTAAATTTACTAATAGCTAATAGAAATTTAAAAACCCATTACAACAGTATCACAGTTTTTGCAGAATGGCATCATTAATTCAAATCAAAGACATCAAAATTAATTAAATCGAATTGTTTAAGTGATATTTTCAAAAGTCAATAACTCGGAAACGGTTGCTTTGAGGTACATCGTGTATTTCGATTTTTGCTAAGAATTAAAGGAAGAATTGAAACATGTAATAATATAAAGGGGGTTCTATTTAAAAAAATGAAACTTTGATGTGCCACGACTTTATGAACGACCCTGTATACTGAAATTTATTACTCGCTAATAGATATTTAAAAATCCTATAACTTTTGTATCTTTTTGCGGTACCTCCTGTATTTTACCTAATAATCGACCGTTTCCATACATAAAAGCGACCCTGTATATATGTTTCGAAAATGTTTCTTATTTGTGGCATACCGTATCCATTTTGCGTCAAGAAACAGACACAATTATTAGAAACATTACCTAAAATGTGTCCAAATGCTACTTGGGAATAAAGTACCTACATTATTGGACATAAACCTTTTAATATACAGGGTATCAATAATCCGTGAACAGAGAACTACTATGTATTTTTGGAAACAAGATAAGTCAATTGGACACAATTTACCTCTACACAAAAGTGGATGGAAGTTCGTTAGATGGAATCAACAAGAAATAAACCCCAAACATTAATTAATTTAAAATTTATGAAACTTATTGTAAATATCGATTTGTGAGACTGACATAACATTCCACATTTTTGTCAACTAGATTATCACTCTTACTGAATCTTAACGCCTGATGTGACTTGACAAAAAATAAAACTAAAAGAGTTTCATTGTCTTTATTTATTTTACTTTACACAATGTTTCGGTCTGAAGTATCACTGAACGTTATCAAGCGTGACAAGAAATATTTTGGCATACATATGTCATAAATTCAAAAAAAGACAAAAAATGTAGTAAACACCAGATTTTTTTTTATATTACTAGAAGACTTAGTTAGTACAGTTCATACCAAATAAACTTTTAGCACAGATTAGGTATCCTATAAGTATACAGATAAAAATCTTGTCCCTAATTCGTGGTACGAAAATTGTTTTTTATGACGATGTGCAAACGAGTCCAATTTCCTGTGCGCAAAAATAAACTCGCGTAAAATAACAATAAACAGCGTAATAGAGAGATATCGCTAAACCGAATAGCGTGCATGGACGTTAATAAGGCCAGGTGTTATTTCCTTGACGTGAGGTGGTATTAACTCTCTTCATTTATAGTTATCGGATCGGAAAGAATTCTGATCGCGTCGCGTCCGCTATTTAAACTTAACCTAACTTTGAATTTAAAACTTTGAAATTGTTTTGTTTACTAGATATTTTAAAACTAAAGGGCTAAAGTGCTTATTTCCAGTGCTTTATTGTTCAACGTCTGCCAGTGGGTTTAGGGCGACAAGCAACAAATTCTCTTAGAAGGGCTAAGTCGTCATCTGCTGTAAACCTAAGACTCTTTATAGGTTCTTTAGTATTGGAAGAGGTGGAATCCATATTTTGGGCCATATTTATTTAATTAAAACTTATCCCAGCTACTTAAATATCAAATTACCTAATAAAAAAGCAATAATTCAAAACAATTCAAACATAACCTAAAATAAAAGATTATGGTTGTTCTGGGTGTGAATATGATAATCTGAAATCAGCTGGGTTTACTGTTTAGATTTTTCACAACTCAAAAGTCCATAAAATAAAGGGACGTGTTCAATCTGCTCTTTAATTACACAACTCAATAATTATTCTACAATAAAATAATTATTGAAAAACACGCTATGTCTTATTTGTCAGCCGATGCCGCTCTTCTTTTTCTTTTCTTCTTGGCACCGATAGACTTCGCTCGGGATTCTATGCACAGCCCTAGTATGGATGGGATTGTCGATATCGATCCGCCACATAGCCCCCCCGTAGTGAGTTCGCCAACGGTGAATTTACGATACATCTGGAAGTGGCGGTCTTGAGAGTAATTTTCTTGATATGGTGAAGGGCGTCTTTTTCTTGACAATGGCGGGTGGCATCTTTTCTTGATGTTTCTATGCTTGATATTTCTTCTAGGTATGGTAATGCATAAGAATGTTCTCCCTGTATTTCTCTGCTATTGGAAACATATGCTGGCTTCAATCTATCTACTGATATACTTTCTGTACGCCCATTGACATCTATCTTGAAAAATTTTTCGTTCCTGAACAATACCTTGAATGGACCAGCATATGGTGGAGATAAAGGTGGTCTTACTTGGTCCTGTCTTACAAAAACGCAAGGCGTTTGCAAAAGATCCGAATGCACGAATGGTCTGTGATTGGCATGGTTGCTTGCGTTGACTGGTTTCAAGTCCCTCATTGTTGTTCTTAGTTTCTTAATGAAATCCACTTCATCGATTTGTTGTTGGGAACTGCTGAAAATTTCACCTGGTAGCATTAGTGTTGTGCCATAAACCATTTCGGCTGCTGTACTATGTATGTCTTCTTTTAAAGTGTTTCGTATACTAAGTAGGATTAGTGGTAAACTCTCAGTCCATTTAGTGTTATTTGTTGCTATTAAGGCATTTTTAAGTGTCTTATGAAAACGTTCAATCATTCCATTGCCTTGAGGGTGATAAGCAGTGGTTTTGATATGAGTAATGCCCAGTAAATTAGTGAGATGTTTGAATAAGTACGATTCGAATTGCCTACCTCTATCTGTAGTTATTTTCTGAGGTATTCCAAATCTTGCAATCCACTTTTCTATCAATTCTTTTGCAACATTTTCACTTGTTATTTCTTTGATAGGTATCGCTTCTGGCCATCTAGTAAATCTATCAATTATTGTTAATAAGTATTTATAATCATTGGAAGGTGGTAATGGTCCTACAATGTCCATGTGTATATGAGAAAATCTTTGCTTAGGTACCTCAATTTTAAGTAATGGTGAATGGGTATGTTTGTTTACTTTGGATCTTTGGCACTTAATACATTCTTTTACCCAGATATTAATATCCTTTCTCATATTTGTCCAAACAAATCTGCTTGATATTAATTTTTGACTTGCACGTTGCCCTGGATGTGAAATATCGTGAAACTTTCTGAAAATTCTTTTTGTGTAGTCCTGTGGAATATAAGGTCTGATTCTTTGGTCAGTTAAATCACAGTATAATGGTTCATCGCTGTCTGGAAGTTTGATAAGTTGAAGTTGCAAACTGGATTTGACTGTTTTGTTTATAATATTTAGTAAATTCTGGTCTTCTTTTTGTTTGCTTGCAATGTCATTGTAATTGATCTGCTCTATGGTACAAATGGTTGGTCTGGATAAAACATCTGCTACTATGTTTTCTATTCCTTTTATATGTTGGATGTCAGTGGTAAATTGACTAATAAATGTTAATTGTCTGATTTGGCGTGGAGAAGCTTTTTCATGCTTTTGTTTAAAGGCATACATTAAGGGTTTCTGGTCGGTGTAAATTGTAAATTCCCTTCCTTCCAAGAAATGACGAAACTGCTGCACACCACTATACATTGCCAATAACTCTCTATCATATGTGCTGTAGTTTTGTTCAGTGGTGGACAGTTTTCTGGAAAAGAATGAAATAGGTCGTACTATTCCATGTTGAGTAGCTTGATGTATAACTCCTCCAATAGCTTTGCTGGAAGCATCTACTGCTAGAGCTAATTTGTCATTTGGGTCAGGATAGATTAGTTCTGTTGAATCTGCTAACAATTGTTTTATTTTCTTAAAAGCGTCTTCGAGTTCTTGATTCCAATCTATTTTAGCTGATTTTGATTTTACATTTTGTAACAAATTAGTCAGGGGTAACATTTCTTGAGCAGCATTAGGTAACCATCTTCTATAGAAATTGATCATGCCCA